CCCATCTCAAGAAATGAAATCAACAACAACGTCCTTAAACACACCCTTAGAGTATGCAGAAGGTACACACACACACCCTTAGAATATGCAGAAGGTTCACACCCACACACACACCCTTAGAATATGCAGAAGGTACACACCCACACACACACACACCCTTAGAATATGCAGAAGGTACACACCCACACACACACCCTTAGAATATGCAGAAGGTACACACACACACCCCTCCTTAGAATATGCAGTTGGTTCCGCAGCAGAGCGTGGATCTGACCCCCGTCTCTTTCGGTGAGCTTCCAGTCAAGTCTAAAGCCCACACTATCATTCATGTGTGCAGTTGAAGTTGCCCAGGATTTTGTCTTGTTTGGATCCACAAGCAATGCTCATGGAAGCAGCAGTCAAGAAATTAAAAGATGCGTTGCGTTTTGGTAAATCTGCTGCACAAGACCTCTTTAGAGTGTTGAAAAGCAAGGATTTTGTTACTTTGAGGACTAAAGTGGGCCTCATCCAAGCCATGGTATTTTCGATCACCTCGTATGGAGGTGAAAGTTGGACACTGAATAAGGAAGACAAAGAGGAGTGAACGCATGGGAATAGCGCTGGAGGAAGAAGACTATTGAAAGTTCGGTGGATCGCTAAAAAGACAAGTGATCTGTCTCGAAAGAAGGACAGCCAGTGCTCCTTAGAGGCAAAGATGGCAAGACTTTGTTTTACCTCCTTTGGGCATGGCGTCAGGAGAGACCAGTCCCTGCGGCAGGACATCGTGCTTGGTAAAGTGGAGGGGCAGCGAAAAAGCGGACGGCCCTCCAGGTGGATTGACACAGTGGCTGTAACGATGGGCTCAAGCGGAAGAACCTTGGGAGGATGGTGCAGGACTGGGCCGTGCTTCCTTCTGTTGGGCCTGGGGTTTCTCTGGGTCAGAACTGACTCGATGGCCCCTACCAACAAATCTCCTTTGGAGATGCAAACACAGCAGCTTCCCTGCATCCCATCCTATCTTCTAAAGGACTAAGCCCCAGAGTTTCGCTAAAGAAGAGCCCAAGAGAGGATAAGTGTTTCCTCTTGCAAACTCTGAGAGACACGGGGCTGAGGACAGCTTCCGAGGGAGCTCACCATAGGTTTGTGTCTGGCTGCAGGAGCGTATTGATGCGGTTTACAATCCAGCTGAAGAGACGCCCGTACAGGGCCTTGGACATGGCGTCCCTGACGTCTGCAGCCCTGTCCACGGTGTTGGCTCGGACAATGGTCTCGCCCCGGGTGACCACACAGCGAGAGGTGAGGGCCTCCTCGAGCTCTTTGGATTGGATGCAGAGAACGGAGGCAGCTGAAACAGAGGGGAAGCAGCACACTGCGTGATGAGGTGCCAGAGTCCATCTGACACACTTACAAGTGCAAGATAAGCACGCTAGGTCCCTAACTAAGAAGCATTCCAACTGACCGTATCTCCCAAATCCCTCGGAAAGCCCTAGCTAGGCATTTGAGGGAGGGAAAAAGAGGCGGGGGAGTTGGGAGCAGTCTCTCTTCAAGTAACATGGAGGGATTGCTTTGGACTGTGCCGTCCTCTTAAAGGAGCCCTAGGTTCCCCATAGGGTCCTCAGCAGTTGCAATGAACTCAATGGCATTGAGGGAGGGAGGTGGCTCAGTGCTTCTCACAAGGTCAGCAGTTCGAACCCTTCCAGGTGCTGTAAGAGATGGGACTTGGGGATCTGTTCCTCTAATGCTTCCAGCCTAGGAAACCCTATGGGGCAGTCCTACCCTGTCAAATGGGTCACTGAGTCAGTTGGACACGGTGCTTGCCAGCACACAACAATACATTCTCTTCAGTGGCAGTTAGATTTGATGTCAACTTGAACCCATGTGACAGTGTGTACGTGTGTGTGGGGGGGTGTCCAACCTATCGACCAAGTCACACAACCTCAGGAAGCCTCATTGGGGCTGTGGCCTTTTTATAAGTGCGGGAAAGAGACATTCTCTCTCTCTGGCCCTTGGCCTTCCTCCCCTGTGCTTGCCTCCAAGGGCAGGTCCATGCGGGCCACTGACCTGGACAGCCGTCGGTGCCCAGCCACCCTTCCATCCCTGAGACACTGCACCCGCTGGCCTGGGATCGCCCTGCTCCTCACTTCACCTTTCTGCATCTTCGGCCTTCCGCTGTGTGAGTCCAGCGAGGGCTTTGGCTAGTGTTGGATTTATGAACTTGAGTGGGACTGGGCTGGGGGAGCTCCTTAATGCAAAGTGACTTCTTGTTATAAAGCTCTTTCGTATACCATATGAGCGGTATTGGCTTGATTTCTCTAGACAGCCCAGCCTAGCACATCCTTCCAGGGGGGTCTTAACACATCAGTCTACAAAAGGCCCTAGAAAGCCCTGCAGCTTTTCATAAAGGTTTAATTTTATTTCAATCCGATGTGCTTGTTTGTACCTAGGTCAGGATTCTCATTCTTCTTGCTGCCATAGTTGCCTGCCCAGCTTGAAAGAAAATCGGGGGTGGGGGGTAGGCGGTGGGGGGAGGGTCTGCTTTCTCCTCAGCAGATGCCGCATCATGGATTCAACAACTTCTTTATGATTTTTCAAAAGTTTGCAGGTGGTTTTCCGGAACAGCCAGGGTTGGAAACCACTGTCCACAGTTACGTCCCGTGGGCTTCTTTGCTGCAGAAAGCTTATCGACGGCTATGGAAAGAGCGCTTGATGTCCCAAGGGTAAGGTGGCCAGACATCCCGCTTCTGGCGAGACAGTCCCGATTTTTAACCATTTTTCCCCCCGCATCCCGCGGCGTTTTAAAAAAGTCCCGATTTTTGGAAAGAATGCACGACAAGCTAGGGTATACGGTTTTCGGCTGCCATGGGGCTAGTTCGCTATTTTATCACTAGTGTCCCGCTTTACCAATGTTAAAATCTGGTCACCTTACGGGCCAAGGGGCATCTTTTGGGGAACAGGATTCGTGAAACCCCTACAGCCAGTGGAAGGAACAGGTCTCGAAAAACTACCAGCACGAAAGAAACGTGGACTTTGGCAACACCCCGGAAGTGAACAGGCATCAAACAATTACCATTTTTCAAAGCTTCAACATTGGGGATCTCACTTTTATCTGTCTGATGTTGAGAGGAAATAGCTGCAAATTCAATGTTTCCGATATTCAAAATCCCAGCCAAAATGCTGTACACGGAGTGCACCTCCTGAAAAGGACAGCAAGAACATGGTTGAAGGTCATTGCCAATCAGACCAAGAAAGCACTAGCCTTCTGGTGGAAACCACCAGCGGGCACCCAGGTCCCTTCTCCCTGTATTCTGTGCACACAGATACATTCGTTAACCTCTCTTGCAATGAGGGTGACCCTTTAGCTAAATTCTTACCAATGGTGCAGGGCATTAGCATGTCTCCTCCATACTTTCCTTGTCATTCTTGCTGGCTGGAATGTGCTGGCTGGCAGTCTCAGAAATGCAATGAGGAGGATGCCTTTGGACCCATGACGCCCAGGGCTGCTTTGACCTGATCCACTTACCTTGGACCGGTTATGGAAGAGACTCACCGGTCGTCTTTGTTCATCAAGCCACGTTGACTTTGTACTTAACTAATTCAAACCACCCACTTTCATAGAGTCAATCCCTGCTCACAGCAAACTTATAGGATGGAGTAGAACCGACCCTTTGGGTTTCCACGGCTGTCCATCTTTACAGGAGCAGACCGCTTGTCTTCTCCTCTTTCCCCTGCACGGTGGCTGGCAGAGGTGAATGCCATCAGGGCTCCTTATTTTAAAGCTAGCTCCCAAACAGTCTTTCTTCAAAGCGAGAGAGATGTTTCCTTAACCTCTGGCTAGTCTTAAGCCAGTAGCTGTGAGTCCGTTCCACCGCCTGGCGTGTGTCGGAGTAGAATTGCCCTCCATGGTGCTTTTACAGGCTGGGTTTTTAGAAGCAGATGGCAAGACCTTTCTCCTGAGGGGCCTCTGGGTAGATCTCATCCTCCTACCTTTGGTGGTTAGCAGGGCACATGAGCTGTTGCAATCACCCACAGACTCCCTTTGGGATGTAGCTTTTATGGCATTGTTGGGGGTACGTTCACTAGAACACGTCAGCATGCAATGACGCGGAGCATGCAGTCATGAAGGAGATCAAGAAATATTCCAGGGAAAAAAAGAAATATTTTGAAAGACTGACTGAAAATTGTCTTTTTCAATAGTGAAAATTGCCTATCCAGAGCTCTGGTGGTGTAAGGTTAGCAGGGTCACCAGCCCACCCTCGGGAGGTAATGGGGCTTTCTGTTCTCACACAGGGAGCCTCTGAACCTGACAGTTCAGGGGACTGTATAAGTATCAGAATATACTCATACTTGGTTTAGAAAATAATAATAATGAAATACATTTATCTATATAATCATTTGCATTTTCTGCCGGTAAGATAATGAAATAACTAGCCAAGAAATGCCTGGCTTTTATACTTCTAGAGAGCAATATTTCCATTAAAGATATACTCAGTAAAAAAAAAAAAAGATATACTCAGACAGGGAGCTTGATTTAGTGCTATGCAAAGTAGCAAACTAATAGGAACTGTCCTTGAGCCGTTGATAAAGCATTGCCCCCACACTGAGCCTTCCTGTAAACATTACTCAGCAAAGCCCCAAACAGAGAACAGACTGTAACAGTGACACCTGCTGGATACCTGATAACGATACAAAGACAAATGAGGATTTCAAACCCAGCTTCTACTGCGGACAAAAACGGCTCTTCAAACTTCTAAATCAAAGGCAAAGTGTCATGTCTCCCGCATTAAGAATCATTGTTTTAATCACACAGCTTAAGAATGGCTATGGAGAACACCTTCCAAATAGGTTTTGGGGACTTGTCTGGGTTTAGCATGACAGCACCTCATTACCTTGATCTATACAGTGTGAAGCTGCTGAAGGTACCAAGTGAGTGCCCACCAAGGCAGAGCCCAGAGGCCAAAATAGCACTGATTTCTGCATTGATCATTTCTTGGCTTAATCCCCAATTCTTATTAGAAAATGTTTAAATAGACAGAAATGTTGGAAAAACAATAAATGCACCCACCTTTGTCACTTAGCTACCTTTTCTTTCTCTGTCATACTTCAATGTGCTTGCACGCGTGCCTATCTCTGTATGCATGTCTAAGTATAGATCATCTATTTCCACACATATATACTCATGCTTTTTTTGCCCGGAACCATCTGAAAGTAAGTTAAAAATATCTAACACCCCACCCCTAATAATTCAGCACAAATCTTGCAAACATGAGGACATTCAACTGCGCAGTCACACTATTATTGCCCCCGCCCCCTTGCCAAGAAAAAGAATACGGCCCATATTTACATCGCTCCATCTTTCCCAAAGTGCCGATTCTAGTTTTTGTTTCTCAAGATCTAAGAGAGAACGGCTGTTCATACCTTTTCTTTTTCTCCCTTTAGAGTGGAATTATTGCAAGAGTGTGAGAGATGCCTGAAGTGGATGGTCAAGAATCTTTTTTGTTTTGCTATTAAATTCTGACACCTGGTGCTGGTGACCCCAAAAGGGCCAGGAAAGAACCATGCTCCACGGTTGTTGTGTTTAATATATGTACAACCTTACATAATACATATACATAAAACTTTATTGTGTCTTAGATGAAAATTGAAACAGCAAATTAAGTCCCCCTTTATTGAATTATCTACACATTGTTTTGTACCATTGGCTACAATCTTACCACGGGCCAGCATTCTCAGGATTTCCATCCGTGTATTCCGTTTCCATGGATCCGACTTCCCTTCCCCTCCTTGCCAGCTCATCCTGGCTTTTGGGTAAATGTTGACCCTCCGGTCTCATACTCATTCCACTGATGGTTCAAGGGCGCACAGTCCTCACAAGGGATACTGTTTATTTTATAAGCCAATCCATCATGTGGCTGAATGACGACCTAAAGAAACCGCTCCAATTCCAAAAATCAAAGGGTATCTGAAGGCAATAGCCTTGAAGTTCCTCTAGACCAGTGGTTCTCAACTTTCCTAATGCCACAACCCTTTAATACAGGTCCTCAAGTTGCAGTGGCCCCCCCAACCAATACATTATTTTCGTTGCTACTTCATCACTGTCATTTTGCTACTGTTATGAATCGGGTGACCCCTGTGAAAGGGGTCCTTCGACCCCTCATGATAGGTTGAGACTGCTGCTCTAGACTCTATCAGTCTAGTCAGTCTAGCATCTATATGTGTGTGCATATATGTATAAATTGTAGAAAAAACTCAAATTTATATATATCAGTTTTGTTTTACATTGTTCTTCCATGTTATTTAAAACCTTCTATTGGGTCCTGGTCAGAAGAGTTAGCAGTGCTAGTCAGGACAGTTGGTAGTGTTGGTCAGGCACCATCCCTTCTTCTGGCTTCAGAAGAGCCACCTGATGTGGTTCGTGTGGCCGTTAGTCCCATGGATTAGATTCTTCCTTGAGCCTTTGGTTTCCTTTATTCCCTTTTGCTCCATATAAGGTGAGACCAATAGTTGCATCGTACAGCTCACAGCTTTTGAGATCCCAAACGCTACACATCAAATTGGATTGTTGAACATTGTCTTTGTGAACTACGTTACACCAAGTTATGCTATGTTATGCTAAGTTGTCTCCTGACACTATGGTCCCAAGTCTTCTAATCCAGTAAGCTAATCCCATCTGTTGTTTGGATATGTCTAGGAAGCCACCATAAACTTGCCTTCTATGTGGTTTGTTTTATCTTTAGAAGTATATGCATCCCTCAAAAATGTGAATATACGGAGAGCGGGGAAAATGGTGACTCGTTAAGACTCCCCCGTTGGGAGCTCCTGCTGCCAGACCAGAAAGCTGGGAGGGAAAGAGGGACCAGACTTAAATC